TAAGTCGCCAGCATGGCATAAGAGGTCAACTCGCTTTTTAAAGACACACAGGGTAACTTGGTACTATCTTGGGATACACAGATTGACTTTAAGAAACAAACACATCCTGTGCATTGACTTATCTTTCTTTTTTGTAAACCTTCACCAAACAGCCCAACTTGAATATATGGAAAGTATGCGGCTCTTTGGCATGGTTCCACATGTGTCACAACATTGTGTCACACATAGGGGTTCTTTTATAGTGAGGAAAATGAAAGTTAGGTCCAAAAGTGTGAGACTCACTGGGCATTTCCCATAAGGTGACATTTAGGAATTGCCTGACACAGATCACCGTAACTATCAATTGATGGGGAGACTGATGAGCCAGCTTAGACACAAAAGCTCTAATCTATAGAGACAGGTGCTTTCCTCCAGAAAAGAATATTCAGTTTTGTTAAAGATCTTTACATGAGACAATATTAGTAATAGATAACATGGGAGCAAAATGAAGGTGTGGGACCAAGGGTGCACCCACTTACCATCACTTTGATTCGCTGAGGAATCTCATAACTTTCTTTGTGTTTCTGAGGTCTGAGCTCCGTGGATCATCTCCTAAGGGGACACACATTTTCAACAGAGACAGGAAAGTTCCAGTGAAGTCTAAATTATGTCTGCTGATAGACCAACTAGAAAGAAGCAATACCATCAACTTGATAGAGCTAAATTATTCTAATCCGTAGGAGGGCTCAGGATGCTGCTACCCGGTGTGGAAAGAAGAGTCTGTGTGCCCCAGTGTCTACCTGATGTCCCTTGATATTGATACAAAGTGAGTAATCTTCACCTTCAAAAGACGTGATGGTGATCAGGGGCTCAGGATGCTCAGGGATGAGAAACAGCATTGTGCTCCTTGGCTGCCAACTACTAAATCTACCCAACCTATGAGAATAGGGTGAATCTAAAATAGAGAGTGAAAATGGAGACATTACATATCAGCCTTATCCCCAAAGCTGTCTGCAGAAGTATGGTCCCAGCAAAACCATGGAGGAGGTGACCTTGAGTAAATCCCTAAAACGAATGTTAGCAGACTTGATGCATCATAGGGCTCCTCCTTCAAGGGAAGGCTTGCAAAGCCAGCTTCCAGTCTTGTGAGGGCTTCCTTAGTTGTAGACAGCTGCTTTGCCTTCTGATCTATATTCAACAGCTGATTAAGTCAGAGACATACTGGGCTATGTGGCCCAATTGTGATAAGCTGTGCCATGTTGCAGCTGCAGCAGTGATATGTTCAGTGGGTTAGTTGGCTTCTTCCTGTATTTGGTCCTACTTCCTAAGTTACACAGCTACAGATGCCTACTGTTTATCCTACATCTCCAAATCTTTGTATATTGTTTGCTGTCTGTGAACCCAACCTGTGTATTCTGAGTAGAGAAGTTCTCCTAGAGCTGGCTTAAGTGACCCCTTCTTCTCTCTCTCTCTCTCTCTCTCTCTCTCTCTCTCTCTCTCACACACACACACATACCACTCCCACTGCACACCACCCACCCTGGTGAGCGGCAGCCCAGCTGTTTCCCACCTGGCCTTTGATGAGTGATATCTTGTTCTCCTGTTCCGGAATCCTCTCTACACAACAAAACAGCCCTGCCTTGCTCTCCTGAGGACCTCACACTGCCTTTTTAGAAGCAGGAGGCTGAAGAGAGTGGGGTTCTTTGTATTCACAGCAGAGAAGGGGACAGTGGTGCTGTTTCTCACATCCAACTGCAGCACACAGGATAGGTTGAAATGTGAGGAGGATGGGCTGAATGAAGCATGGGGACCATTGTCCTGCAGTCCCCACTTTCACAGTACTAATGTTTAGATTAGGGCAAAGGACGAAGATCCTGGGCATTGAACCCACTGTAGTGGTACCAGGTCTGAGAGATTCCTATGGGGATAACCAGGCTAATTTTAGAATAAAGGATCATTCCAGGAAAATCCTGGAAGTATGTTGGATCACAGCAGGGGACATCTGTGTCAGGACATCTTTTGCATGTTAGGAAAAGAAGTCACGGAGCTGCTTCACTCAGCTCACAATTAGTCACAGCACCCTCGAGTCCCAATCTCTCCATACGCCTGTGTGGGAAATCTCCAATTGGCAGTCTGGCAATGGGGGCTGGCAATACCCAGATGCTTCTCTGCAATTAAGACCATCCATACCAGCCCATCCAAGGTATGGAGGTAGTACAGAGCATTTCAGCTCGGCAAAGCTGTTGTTGCTTTCTTTGCTTTGCTCAGAGCAGACATATGGATGGGCTGAGGAGGGAACCCTCACTGAATGCTGGGCCTTACCACGGGCAGGAGGGAAAGGATTTCATGAAGAGAGGAGCTCAGGAGACCGTGGGCAAGAAGGCATGGATGTACTTAGATACACTACACAAAGCAATGCCAAGTGGGAAACATTAGACTAGAATTGCAGAGTGCTACGCAAAGTCTGCGTTAGGAACTGCTTATTTTCTGGGTGATTCACCATCTAATTTCTCCAGAGCTTTTTGCGGCAATTTCTGAAGGTATAGAAGGTAATCCCTCTGCCCCCACAACCCCTTGTACTTTGGTCGGAACAGAAATCTAAACTTGAGACTAAAATTAAGGCTTTTTCTTGGAATCTCTGGAGTGAAGAAGCAGAGAGGCACAAACATCTGATCTTGCGTATCTAACCACTGAGATAAGTCCTTTGAATTTTTGTTACCGCTTACTCTCGGTTTTAAACTTGCACCAGCGATCCATACATGTGGAACATGTCTGCATCTGGGTTTGCATGACCAGAGTCTTCTACCCATGTAACCTTCCGCTAAATGCACTTTCAGGCCAAGTTTTCTGGGGTGGGTGTCAGAGCAGAGTTTATTCTGAAGGAGATTTTTGTTTGTTTGTTGTTACATTTTGAGGATTATAGATGTTCATGTGATTAAAAAAAGAAATCTGTGGCTACCTGGCTATGATTCTAAGTAACAAGGACTAACTGAGAAACAGTAAAAGGTTGTGAAGGTCCAATGATACAATGAAAGGGGAAACCATTTCCCTTTTCTTTGGGCATTTGTAGAGGATCTAAATGAACTGAGCAGGTAATAGTTGTATTTACTGGTTACTGTGGATCATGAAGGCAGAGGGTGGGGGCTGACATCAGGGATTTGTGGGAGGCAGCTGACTTCAGCTCCTTGTGTGAATGGTGCATTCTTTCTAAACACCAGGTTCAACAGGATCACCTTGAGAGCTTAAAATGAGCCACAGTTACAGTACATACTTGAGGGAATCAGCAATTGACACAATCTGGTAGGGTTTTGCTTCCCCCTGCCCCGAAGTAAGCCTAATTTTTTTTTAGCCAATATCTTGTGTAGCCAGGGCTGGCCTTGAACTTGATATGTAGCTGAGGATACCTTTGAAATCTTGATACTTCAGCCTCTATGTTCCAAGTGATGGGATGCTTAGTATGTGGTGGGTGAGGTGACTTTATCAACTCTATCTTATATGTTTTCTTTAAATCTGCCAAGTCTGTTACTGGTTCATGCTTTCCTCTGTTTCTTCAGCACACAAAGAGTGTTTAGAATGCTTGTTTGAATGTATTTGTCCCCTAGGTCTACACTCTTAGTGAGAAGTCTAACTGCAGCTAACATATAGTCTGTAGCCTTTTGTAGACTGCTCATGTACTAGTAATGGAATTTTTCCTTACAGAACTGTTGTAAGTAAGAAAACAAGCAAGATATCAGGAAAAGTTCAGCAACAAACATGCTAGGGTTGCTATAATCACCAAGACTAATAATAATTATGTTGGTGGGAATGGTACAACAGCTTTGGAAAAGCCCACAACTAAACCACAGTGGCTACATGACCTGTTATGTAGGTTCATTCCTAGTTATGTGTGCAAGAGAAACCAATTCCACATGGAAACTATACATACATGTTCACAGCAGTATCACTCATAATTATTTCCCAAAGGAAAATGTCTCATGCTAATGGATATCATCTGCTATGGTGAGTCAGCTTTGGCAATAAGAGAAGCGCATGAAACAACATGATTAACTTTGGGAGCAAGAGGCAAATGAAAGATACAAGTTATCAACGACCACCTATTACATAATGCTACATATATGCCATGCCCAGAACAAGAAACAACAGAGATAGGAGAATGTGGCTTTCCAATGACCAAGTTAGGGACTTCTTAGAAGGAAATACTAATGTATATAGTTTTATTTTGGTGACCATGAACAAAATTGAAAATTTATTGTGGTGATAATGGGTTCACAACTCTGTAAATATACTATAGCCTATGAATGTAATAAAAGGTATTGAATTTCATAAGGATGTGTTATGGATCTCAATAAAATATTTTTTAGATGTGGTTCCTAGATTTTGAGATTTCAGAGACTAGTAGGGAAAATTCTGGAATCCACCATAACTGCCCACTTTGTTCATTTGCTTTTGATAAATAACACCATTTAATGGCCACTTACAATGGTACTGATATAATTTACTAAAAAGAAAGTAACTATAGTGCTTAAAAGAACCAAGGATGATGGACTATTTACTGACTGGAATAAATGTAGCTTCTTTTAAAAAAAGGTATTATGGGGCCTGGAAGGATGGCTCAGTGGTTAATAGCACATACTTCTCTTGCAGAGGACCTGAGTTCTGATCCTTGTACTTACATCAGAGCTGTTCCCAACTGTCTAGAACTTCAGGTTCAGTGACATCTGATGTGTGGTATCCCCCATGGTATCTGCACTCACATGCACATAACCATACTACACACATACATATAATTAAAAATAAGCCTATAAATATCATCTGATTTTTATAAGTAGCTACAATAGTAACTTTCATACTGTTTGAAGCACACATCACTCTTGTCACTATTTTTAAAATCTTCTAGGAAGGCCTCATCATAGAAATGTTTCAGATTGTTATCAGTTTGTATATCCCATGGCCATATAATTAGGTTAGTTATTTCATATGCACTTTAGTAATTGATTTATTGATAACAGAAATGAAAAAACTTAAATGATAAAAGACTTTATTTATAATATCTAAAAGTCATAATATAGTGTAAGACTGCAAAAATAAAAGACAATTTCTGGAAACTTAAAAGACTGTCTAAAAACCACATTAACATTCACTATTTAAAATATAATATCAGTCTAAGCTGATGTTTGCTTCTTTTTGTATTTCACAACATCTGAGCTAGAATTTTCTTCACACAACTACACTGTTAACTGCTTCAGTTCTAATGCTGAAATTTATAACTTGGGTCTTTTCTCACAAGCAGGAATACATAGCATAAAACCCTTTCTACACAGCAGAATGAAAATAATTAAAAAAAAAAAGCAACAGATTTCAACCATAAGAAGACAGTGAGGGATGTTTCTTTTGCAAACAGTGGGGGTAAAGGGATTCTGAATCCAGCTAGACTCACTCCTGCTTGAAGGCTGTCTAGATTACCCATTATCCATTATAATGAAGCACAAGCTATGTGTAAAATACTTCTACCACTTATTAGCCAGGATTCAATACTCAGGTACTGGGAAACAAACAAACGGATTAGCCTCAGTTTACATATGAAAAAGCAAGGCTTGTTGTGAGAATGGCTTCCTGTGGGAGAAGCAAGAGATTTCTCTGCAATAGACATTATGCTTTTTTTTTTACTAGCAGTATTAAGATTTGGGGTTTCCACTGAGAGACTTAGTTTTGGGTCAGAGGAAGAAGTTCAGAGCACAGACAAGGTGAAGATTTCATTGTTAGGGGGTTACCAGGGAGAAAGTTAAAACCAGGATAAAGCCTCTTTTCAGATGGAGATCACTTTGCAGAGGTAAAAATAGCAAAACAAGAATAGAAAAATATAATAGCTAGAGTTTTTCTCATTTCTAAGCCGGGTCCTTTTGTAAAATCACTTTGAAAGGAGAATCTCTCTTGAAGATAGCCTTTGACATCGTATTCCCCCCTACCATGGGTACAACCCGTGAGGTAGAGCGCACCAACATGAAGGAACAAAGGTGAGAAGCAGAGATTTTGAGAGGGGAGGACCACAGGGACAACAAACGGGATGGAGATGTTATGTTGTACAGCATTGGCTACGAGGTAGAAACAGAAGACAGAGGAGCAACGGAACTTTTACAGATGGATAATGGAATAATCTGGGGATCTAGTAGCAATGGCAGCTACTTATATTTTACAGAGGATTTGGGATTTCAAGTATACAATGAAATCAAAGATGATGGACACATTCAGTTTAAGGGAATCTTTGCAGTTATGTCTCGTGAGAGTACAGGGGTGCAATTGAGCAGTGGTGTGGGCTGGAGTAAACTAGTTCCTGCAGAACAAACACCTGCTTCATCTAGTTAAAATATAATGAATACTAGGCTATTCATAAGATTTCAGAGGGGAGTCTACTTTAGTTTGATCAATACACGAGGGTGGATTTAAAAATCCCACCTGTTCCTGAAAAGGGTATTGGTAACCAAAACAATGGTGTTTGTTCACTTGGAAAACTGTGTGTCATTCTGAACTTCATAGATCTTGTGTGTCATTAAGGGAAATTAACCTCTGAGAAAGACAAATAACCCATCTCTTCATGGCTGTCAGAGACATTTGTGGTAGGACAGGGCTGTTCTAAGTCAATGTAGCAAATCTGATGTTCTGGATTCCCAGAGAGGATTTCTCCCAGGCTCTCTTCTAATCACCTTTCACAGCCAAATTCCACATCACGGAGATAAACTTAATCCGGTGTAGATCACAAAACCCACCATTGTGTTGTGCCTATGAGATCTGATCCTAGAAATAAATACTCTGGCAAAACCCATAAAGGGGAAACTATGTGGCCTTCAACCTTTAGAGTGGTAGAAGACTGAACTACCTCAGAAAGCCCCTTTGTTCACTCGATTGTTTGGGATAGTAATTAGACCTGGGTAATAACTTTAAGACCAAGAGTAGCTCTCTTCATGTCCAAGTGACCTGCCTCCTATATAACATTTGCTTGTGGCAACTGTGACAAACCCACTGTGGAATTGTAGCACAAGATGACAGAAACATGTCAGTTGACGGTCACTTCACAGATAGTTTGCTTTTTTCCATAAATCTGACAGTCCATCCTAAAAATACAGTTGTTACTATGGACAAATGTGAGCACAACTCTCCAGCAGGTTCTTGACTTCAGACAGTAAATAGCCCTATTCCACTATAGTGTGAGGGCATGAAGACCTGAGAATCTTACCAGATTCTGTTACATTAAACTTAATTTTTAAAGTTATTTTGAAACATGCCCATCAGTTTTACTATGGCTCTAGGTGTGGCTGGTTAATATCTGATGCACTGTAATCAGGAACACACATCTCCCAGAAGCTGACAGAAGCTCTGGTTACTTCTAAGGCTATTACCACACACTTTATTTACAGTCCAATCCTAGAGACTTTGTTAATCTAGCAAATGGCCAACTTGGTGGTGTTAAAGGTCAGTGAATTGGTTCACATCTTGTAAGAACAGCCCTCCCATGAACAAACCCAACAGACTGAGGATTCCTGACATACTCTGTGTATAGAAGTCAAACAGAACATGGTCTGGCTGATCAAACTAGGAAGAATATTGCTGGATTTACTTTTGATAGTTCTTTCAGATAGACATGAGATGCAGCTGGGTTGCCTCAAAGAACAGAGTAGGGGTTTTCTCAGCTTTATAGGAGAGTGGGCTACTGTTCTGGAGTCTCCTGGTTTATTAGCACTTGGGCTAAACGGATTCCAGTGCAACGCATTACCTAGTGAGGTTGGGAAGGAAGCATATACTCCTTACACATCAGTTTACCAAAGGTTACCGAAATAGTCTAACAGCAGGATAAGGCCAGATTAGAAAATTCTTGGATGGAAGAAATTCATGATGCATACATCAGTTGTAAGATTACTGTAGTTGCATTCTATAGTTGACTGGGTTTGCAAACATTAGCTATTGGCTTAATGGGGATAAAAGTCCTATGTTCTTTTAGAGTCTTCAAATGACCCAAGGATGAAGGAAGGGCCTTGTCATTCGAGCACCAGAACAAGAAAAGCACAAAGTACAGGTGGTGACCTTTCACCTTTCTAGCCTCCTCTGGCTTCCTTCCAGCTGTCCTCAGTATGAATGTTACTACCCTGGGAGATGAATTTTTATTGAACAGAGACCAACAGCAAGAGCATGTCAAATTAAGTCCAGGAAAGTATGTTACAAGCTTGTGCCTAGTAAAACCAAATCAACTGGTATAGGCTGTTCCATCTGACGTGGTTGTTTGGCCTTTGTAGGTTAAGCTAGTGGACACATGAGTAAAGTGAGCATGTGTGCTTGCTTTTGATTGTAACAATTCTTAAGGTCTTAGTTCCTGTAGGCTCTTATTCTTCTGCTTTGAAAGAAAATCAAGACGATATTCCCTAACAATCAAAGTGGGTTTAAAAGAAGTAACAGCTGACCAATGACCTACATAGCCTACAAATGTATGGTGTGAATTGCACACCTTTCTGTTGCCATGGGAGCTCCTGAAAGAGGATATACCAGAAGTATGGTCCTATCCAATGAAATGATTTCATGTAAAGTGCTGGTCCTGGATACCCAATCCATACCATACACTTGGAAAAGGTACTGATTAACAGTTATTTGAAAAACAGAAGCAATGGTGAATTCTAATAATATGTATTTTCAATCCTACCTAAAGTTTGGCAGATGAACCTTGTAAAACTATATTATTATTATTGCATGTGCATGGGGTATGTGAGCTCAAGTGGTGATTAAGATGACCATGTTGTGGACCTTATCTCTCCTTCTACTTCCATGTGAGCTCCAGGGATTAAACTCAGATCCCCAGGCTTTCATAGCAAGTGCCTTTACCCAAGGATCTATTTCAATGATCTGGATATGAAACAATCGATGGGATAAATGTTTACTATAGTAAGTGGAATGCCTGAAGTTGTAATTGGTTATACTTCAAACTGGATCAAACTGAAATTTCTACACTGCTGAATCCTTCTTCCTGGGACATCCAATACTCTAAATGTTGGCAAAGGCATCGGACATTGAAGTTTAATATGCAATAGTGGAGTCATAGGTACTTCTCGGTTAGGAGAGAACTTAACAATTTTTCATCCACCATTCCCTAGTTTAATTTGTACCACAGTTCTGAAAGGTTGACAGGGAAGGTCTCTGATTTACAGGTGGGGACAGATGATACTCTACACAGTTTAAGTTATTTTCCTAAGTTTCTATAGTTACAGGTAAAGTTGGGTATAGACTGTTGATTCTTAAAACAATGGGTGATCTTCTAATTCCAAGGCAGGCTGTATTGTACAGTAAGAACAGTACCAGGAGGCAAGTGAATGCAAGAAAAGATGACCAATAACAGATTAATATTTTTGAAATTCACACTGCTACAAAAGACAACTTGGGGTGAAGGACTTGGTTCCATTTCTTAGAAAATAATGATGAAAACCTGGTCACTTACTTGGCATTTCTTTAGTTTTGTGTGTGTGTGTGTGTGTGTGTGTGTGTGTGTGTGTGTGTGTGTGTGTGTACATGTGCACCTTCTATACAGATACCTGGCACAGGAAAGAGTTTCATATACTGTGAAGAGCATAGAGATGTCTTCAAATTTAAAGCATACAAAATCCATCCATAAAGGGAACTCTCATAGAATACATAGCAAATTACTGCTGTTTGCATTCTGAGTTCATCAAGTCTGGCTGATCCTAGCCAGTGCAGATGCTTCACTGTAGTGAGATGCAAAGAATTTGGTGGTTTGCTCCTGCAGCCATAATGCTTGCAGGTAAAATAGGTAATGCAGGCTGTGGTGAGGGTGAGCAGTGCCTCTGCCTCCTTGGAATGTAGAGTGGAAGCAGTCCATGGAAAAATGCTACATGAAACAGATATGGTGAGAGCATGATCAGCTGTGAAGATGTTCCTCAACCTCGCTTACTAACCTTTAGAGTCTAGCTTCCAAATTTAAATGGCACCATCAAGTAGTCTAGGCTCCAAATTCAGAGATTAGCATTCTAATTTTGGATAACATTTTTTGGTTGATGGGACTGGTTAATCAAACCCCTTCAAAGCTGTTCTGTATTTGACTAACTTTCTTTCTTTCTTTCTTTTAATAGAGAGCAGACAGGAGACACTAGGAGAAGCTATTATGAAGCTTATGTGACCCATGTCTGGGGCTAACAACTATCAAATATAGCAGTTTGTCTAAGAAATTTCATAGCTGAGAGAAAGGCACAGATGACAATGAACTAGCTGGCTGCATGAGAATACCCACACCCTAAAATAACTTTTTCATAACAATTCTAAGAATCGTTGAAAGGTAGACAGTGAGCTCCTCGTGTGAGGGTGCTAAGGAGAGGACAAAAGGCCCCCAGATCCTTTTCTCTGGCACAAAGGATGACATCCCTCCCTCCCTCTGGGTCCACAGTGCGCTTTTGTGAAGTGGACTCTGTGACCTTCTTCCCAGCGGGACTCTAGCAACTCTCCTCAGCATTCAGATATTTAAAGCCTTCTAAAGGAGGGGGACTCAGCAGTCTGGCCCCTAACATAGAGGGCTAATGAAATGCTTCACGGCCAGGGAAAACTCTTAGTACTACACCATCCGACTACTGGAAACCAATCACAAGGAATCCTGCAACTGTAGATGCGTTGACTTAGCAATGGCATCCTGAGCAATGAGGCTGGCCTCAGCAGAACTAAACCTGGAGTAGCAGAGTGGTGGGGCAAAGACCAGTGGAACTCTAGGTGCTCTGGAGCCATAACCTCTAAAAAGGCTAATCCAAAACCAAGAAGTAAGATAGAATTTAAGTACTCTTCCCCCTAGAACTGCAGATAACGGGGAGTGGGTTGGGTGAGTAAATCACTAGAGCAGAGCCTCCTCTAAGGCTTATCTCACAAAGGTGGACAAACAATAAAAAGAAGTAAAGGAGAACCAAGGCCAGTGTGGCATGAATAAAGTGTCTTTGGTATTTCACTAGAAATCTGATAATGTTCATTTCCTCTTGTGGGTTAGGCTAGAAATGTAAACTATTTATTTTGATGTTCATACAACTCTTCCTTAATATGTAACAAGTACATAGTGTTTTATTTTTAATGCCTGTGACATGCTCTGATCATCTAGGATACACAGTAAAGCGACATTATCTTTAAGATATGCCCATGATCCCTTTGCCTTTAAGTTTCCTTCTGTGAGCCTTGTCAGTCTTAGTGATAGACAGCTGGCAGAGGGAGATGAGAGGACTCCAGGCAGATACGAGCAGGCATAACAGCATTGTCGTGTAACCATTTAGCTTGGCAGAGAAGCTGCTGTATTACTCACTTTGTAGTGTCTCTTTAGGCTTGTTGACCAGGTGATGTGAGGAGGAGGAATAGAGGACATGCAGATTTAGCAAACATGTCATACTGAAGTAGCTTTACAAAAAATAGTTTTCAGATTTTCCACCTGGCTTTTAGGAGTGGGAGTTATTTCATGGTGATTTTCAGCAGGCTTGCTTGTTTGTTTGTTTGAGGTAGATATGAGATGGAAAAAAATGAAGAAAGCAGAAGTGTAGCCAGCTAAAGCCTGTGCGGAGTGAGACTGGTTTGGAATCAACTAAAGAAGTGAAAGCTGAGCTTGTCATGTTCAGAAGACGAAGAAGGGCAAAACTAACTGGACTGCATCCTATTTCGGCAGGGGTTTTAGGACTTACTAGGTAGGAAACAGGTTGCAGCACAAGGACAAAGTAGAAGACTTTGTAGACACAACTAATCATGAGGGGACAGAGGGCAGAGGGCCATGTGGAGCCCTTGAGATCTACTAGCCAGGAAGGACACAAGGCACTAACACTGGCTCACAAGCACCCGGAGGCTTGCAGGTTCTCATTGCTTGTTATTGTTGTTTGCAGAGAAGAGAGTCTGCCTCTTTCCTTGGCCTCTGTATGCAGGTATTGTAATTGTACTGAGATGCTAGGGAAATCTAAATCCCAGCTTAATAATTAGTGTACTGGATGTGGAGCTCATTTTCCCACCTGTTTAAATTACAGACAAGCACTGCCTGAGACCCAAGCATTGTGGTTGCCAGCAGCTGTGACCATTCCCTGAAGTCATCACAGGCAGATGACGTGATTTCAAATGAACACACCATTGTAGGCCAAGTGTTAGTAGTTAAACACCAGAGTTACAGAGATGCAAAGCTAGAGGCACGTTCACAAACACAGCTGGTGGTTAAGAAACCCTTAATGAAGTTAAGAAATCTACTATTAGCTCAGAGTCATTCATCAAGAGTTCCAACACACTCAGATTGAAATTGCTTAGATGCCTCAGTTTCTCTCAAGTCTAAGAATAAACATTTGTTAGAACACCCATTACAAGAGGAAAATCACACATAATGTTCTCGTGGGTTGATGTAGAGCCTCTCAGGGTTGCTTGGGTGATGCTCGTGAGGGCTTCGGTCTTGGTAGCACATCTGGTTGTAAAGGGGGTACATCTGCTGAGTCCCATCCTTTCCTATTGTGTTCTCATCTTCATAGTCAAATCTCCTGCTATTGAGTCCATTCTAAAAATTCAAACATTGTTTATATTAGCAGAGAAACTGTTTACATTCTTCTAGCACATTGGCAAAAACAAGCAAAAATTGAATTCATTAAAGTCCATGTCCTTGATTCACTACCCCACAAGGAACTGAATGGGAAGGCTGTGTTCAACAACTCACTGTGTTCCAGTTATTTGGTGCCCACCAAAATCCAAATAAGAGATATGGTGACTACAAGCTCCAACGAATGGGGCTATGAGGAATTTTAGGTTTTGAAATTTGGAACCCATCCAGGTCAGCTAAAGAAGGACATGGTTGTGAACTTCAGGAGTGTCTCAAAAAGGGTCCCAGCTTGGAAGGAATATTTGAGATAGTCAGAGAATTAAATCAAACAAACAAAAATAAACATCAAGATTCAGCACTGTGGGGTTAGGGAATGGACACAGCAAAATGAATTGGCATTTGACCATATGCTGGATCACAGGGAGACTTAAAAATGCTGCCCCAAACAGCCTCTCCACTTGACCTTCCTCCTGACTTGACCTAGAGCCACAGCTGACACTTACTCTGGAATGAACTCCCTCTGACGCTCTCTGGTATTCCTTACATGGCTCCTTCTGCCTGGACATTTCAGTTATCTGTAGATGACTGAAATGCTTCTGAGATTACTTAGAAGTGTTCTTTAGATTACTTGCAAGAGTAAGCAAGTTCAAGGACTTTATCAAGTCATGTACATGAATGTAAACAGGGAGCAATGGATAAAATGAACTTTGATGGATATCTAACGAGACTTTCAAATGTATCTTGGCGGGTACAAGATGAGCCTTACTTACAGAGGACTGAAGATCAACAGCTCCTTTCTCTTTGAACTGAGTCTGCACAGGCAAGTGTTCAGTCTGGAAGACATTAAAAGATACACTCTGTAAAGCACCAACATATCAACCCCAGGAAGACTCCTGTGTTCAAGGAGCCAACCAGGTCTTGCTAAATGTCTACCAATGAAGCAAAATATTCTCCAGGAGGATGGAAAAAGACAATCAAACAAGCAAACAAAAACCCAAAATCTCTCCCCTCCCCTCTTCTCCTCTGGTTTGTGGCTTCTTTAGAGAGAAAAATATCCAGAACATCTGAGCTGGGGCAAATCGTGACTATATGACTTGAGACTTTTAGCACCACAGTTTTCTCTTTCCCTAGTGGAATAGTCTGGTATTTGGGCTGAACCAGCAATGATAAGCCTTTATTGGTGGCCATTCTTTTCTCACTGATTCCTACCTCTTGGGTTGTAAATGGAGTCATCACTTTGATAACCTCAGCTGCAAAGGGTCTTTCTTAGCTCCTTGTTCCTGTTACATTAGGCCTCCATTCAAGTGTCACAGCATTTGTAAAGCCCTGTCACACCCTCAGGTGGAGGCAGCCATCAGATCATCTAGTAGCAGGACCATTTTCTCATCAGTCTCCTATATGAGACTTAGAGTGCTCACAGGAATCTTGTAAGAATACTCTTAGCTAACCCATATAAGTAATTCTATAAAGCTGGTCTCCACTGGGAATTGAAGTTGCTGGTGTCAAGGAGATCACCACACTAATGTCACAAGAGTTAAAATGTTATAGACCAAAGCGAAATTATCTTCCTCTAATTTCAGTCACTTTGGAAGCCCATCTGACTTAACATCATGGTAACTATCAAAACCTTTAAAATGTATTCTTAGCAGACCACTAGCTTCCCATAACCCAAGAGCTAAGGACTGTTATCAAGTAGCATCTGAAACTGCATACATATGGCACAATGTATCTGGCAAATATTTTGACTTACAACTTTCTTCTGTAACCAATAAAATCTCATGTTACGGCTTCTACATTAGAATCCAGTGTTCAGAAGAATCCAGGTCTACATTCCTTCATGATCAGTAATATATGACTCCAGAATAAATCATCTCTTATTCCCTTTGAAATAAAAAGTGTGTTTTTCTATCGATACTATTTTACATGTGACTAAATCTGAGACTTAGTGTGGTTAAGGTGTCTCATCTCACAGATGGTTAGTAGAATGCTACTCAAGCATAATTTTGTCAGATTCTACATTTTTGAGGTTTATGGCCCCTGCTTCGAGCTCCATGCCTATAGGAGATACTACGCAAATACAATAGGAAAAAGACTGAATGTACTGTGTCTACCAACAGGTCTTTGGTCCTGCTGTCCCTCTGGTCTGAAGGTTTGCCCCTTAAGTTTTGGTAGTTGAAATACTCTCTCTCCATGGCCTGACTACAGTTACTCTTCTCTTCCATGGAGCCTTTCTCTGCCATAGTGAATCCTTTCACTACTTTCTCCACTGTTCTCTGCACATCTCTAATGCCTCGCATCATAGTTTGCTTTGTTTTATAATCTTGGACATTTGTAATTTTTCAACTCCAGCAAATACTGACCTTGTCCTGTCTACTGTTGTGGTTTGAATGTTTGTCCTCACAGAAATCAATTTGTTGAAACCTAATCTGTAATGTGATGCTATCAGGAGGTGGGACATTGGAAGAAAGGAGGACATGGGGCAGGACTCCCATGAATGTGGTTAGTGATGCCTTATAACTTACTGAGGAGGCTACAGAGTTCTCTTCTAAACTACAAAATTACAGTGAGATGGCCATATCAAGAAGAGGACTTTCCCCAGAAGGAACACAGTATGGCTACAAGGGTTTAAGGAGAGATGTGCTGTTCTAATTTATATAAAATTCCAGATGATAACTTTAACAGGACCAGAAAACACATTATCACCCCCATCTTCCCAACATGCTGGTAAGCCTATCCTGTGTCATCAGTGAAATACATGAGCAACTTCCTGGAAGCCAAAGATAGGATATCATAAGCAACAATATCTGCATTACATTTGCCAGGGCTAGGGAAATGCAGAGGCTAAACTATATTTTGCTGCAATACAAATATGTCAAAATACCACTTGCTTTATGACTAGTATAGAATTTCTACCTTTTCCTACAGTAGGAGATAGGAAAGTCTAGACAACACAGACCCGAATAAGAAAGGAAGTGTCTCGATTCACTCTATCCTACACTTGAAATGTTCATCATCAAATCACTATACCTCAGGGGACCTGTAAGTTTGCAATCCTGAATACAGCAATTTAGCTTTTAAACTAATAAACTGATTTTCATGGGTCAGTTTTATGCTAATATAAAAACTGAGTGGGAAGTACAGTTTTCATATGCCTCTCCTTTTCCCTCCATATGCATGTATAAACCTTATCTCCAGGATTAACTTCCAGTTTCAATGTGGCTCATTTGTTAAAATGGCAACTTTTGTATATACTCTTATTTTCAGGAGTCCAAAATGTATATTTGAATTGATTCTTGGCAGTGCATCTTTATTTTTTTGCTAACAGGATGCTAATGCCATGGATGTATCATTCTACCATCACATACAGAACAGTTTCATGGTCACCCCAGACACCCTGTGCTCTGGCACTCAGTTGTGAGCCACTATGTGGGTGCTGGGCATCAAACACATGTCCTCAAGAAGGGCAGCCAGCACTCTTACTGAGCTACCTCTCCAGCCCCAAACTGTCTTTTTAAAAACACACTCCCATCTTTTCAAACTTCTTCCTATCATGCTGTCTAGCTGCTAGCCACTGCCTCCTACCTTTTCTGGGATTTTCTGAGAGAATCCAGAACTGCCTCCGCTACCATCCCATGGGTTATGATCACATTAGTCTTCTGACTGAGGATTGGACACCTAAATCGATGCTTTCTGTTCTCTGCCTGGGCCATTATTTGTTATCTTGATGCTAAAACTAGGACATCTTATATCCCCATCTTACTTGTGGGTCTTCCTCTCCATTCCAGAAGAAATTCCCACACCTGTGAGAACTTCTGCCCCCACTTTCAGAACTAGGCTCCGTAGCATGCTTAATTCTCTTGCCACCCATTCCCATTCAGCTTTTCTCTGCCATGACAAATACCTGACAGTAACAGCTTGAAAGAGGAGAGATTTATTTTGGCTTATAGTCTAGTTCATGGTTGGCAGGATCTGTTGGTTTGGACTTGCACAAGGCAGAATATTATGCTTCTGTGTGTGTGTGTGTGTGTGTGTGTCAGGCCAGGATGTTCACACCATGGTAGCCAAGAAGGGGAAAAAAGAGACAGGGGAGGGTGTGTGCGTATCCAAATATGCTCTCCCAGGACTTGGACCCAGGGAAATTTTTTTTTCTAAATAAGACCTATCCTCTATATCTCAATTCCATTTTATAACATCTCAATAATGCTATCAAGTGATGATCCTATCAGTGAACTAATTAATCAATTGCCCTAATAATCTAATGGTCCCTTAGTAACTGGGTCTACCATCTGGTGACTGAGCTTTGAACACATGAGCCTTTGTCAGGGATAATTCACCTCCAAATCATCTTATCACTGACTCTTCTACTCAGCATGCAATCTGTTTAGGTTTCTCCTACTATAAAAGAGAAAGGCAAGTTCTATGTACTTAAAAATTTCAAAGACATAACATCTCAAAAACCTCAGCTGAACAGGATATCATGGTATTGGCCCTTCCTCTTGAAAGACCACCCAATTCCCAAGGCTGCAAGTGAAGACAGGCAGCTTCACCCTTAGTGTGTAGCTCTTCTGTCCCCCACAGCTGCCGCCAGTCCCAGCATTTGCTCAACTTCTCTGTCACATGCCTGGATCACTTTTCACTGCCACTAATAGCACACCAGACACAATGACATATTTTAATGCACACTCATAATCTTTTATGAAAGAGTACATAGTATATGAAGAAATTGTGTGCAATAACCACATAACTTAATTATATTTATTCTACATGAAATCTTGTCTCACAGTAAAATAAAACAAATTGCTATCTACTGCCCTCTATGCCACTCAAGATGAGATACTTTATATTACTCGCTCCTTTTCAGTCTTGGAGTATTTTGTTATCTTCCAAGTTCACTGCTGACCACAGAAACCATGCCTCCGTTTTCTTCTCTGATCAGTTTTAGGTTAATATCTAGGATATACTATAAATTTACTTTTCAATGGACTTCCATAAATAGACAACTTTGGGAGCACAGAAAACCTAGCCATTTTCTTCTCTTTTTTTGAGCAGGATGCTTGCTCCAGAACTCTTCTGGCTTGGCCTCCACATGTTGCCATATGTCTGCTAGCATTCTCTGTTGTCTTCTTATGTCAGTACAGTGCAAACAACTTCAATTCTATTGATATAGCTTGTCCTAATGCTTTTTGTATAGACTTCTAAGTAAGTCTCCAGTTATGACGGTTTATGGTATAAAGTCAATGGAACAAGAGTTTTAAATACCAGACAATTATGTTGAAATCCCAGAGAGTAAACACACACACACACACACACACACACACACACACACACACACACAGTGACCCTTTGATGCCCTGATTTTCTGTTGGCTTCAGAGAGAACAAATGACGATGATGATAGTGTCTTGCTGAGCTCACCGGGCAGAATTCCACTTATAGGTAAGTTGAAGTCTAGAATCTGGAGAAGGGAACTGAAAATGAGACCCAGAAAGAAAAGGCTCAGATGTCGGCACAGGGAAGTTCATTTTGCCAATCCATTTGGCATACGTGGAACAGAAAATGAATGAGTACTAGAGAAGAAGGTATTAGCAGGGAGCTGTAATTGTAACCACTGTCAGAGCCCTATTAAAGTTGAGAGACGCTAAATTTCCAAACAACCAAAGTAGAAAAGTTCACATCTGAACATGATACTGACTTACTTCATTTTTGGTTACTAACTCAGGAATGGAGATTTACTGTCCTGTGACAGTTAAGTGAGGGGCTGTATCTAATGTTGGACTTGTTGCTGAAAGAGTCCTAGGGTAACCCAGGAAATCACATGGCAAGAGACAGGGAGT